GTGATGGGGTGGGGTGGGGCGGGGTGAACACCGACCGGTGCGCCGCGCCCGCGCCGAGCAGGTGAATAACCTTTTTCGCGCCGTGGTGGCTTCGCTCTTTACCCTCGTGCCCCTTCTTCTCTCTCCCTCTCTCTCTCCCCCTCTCTCTCCCTCTTTCTTTCTCTCCCCTCTCTCCCTCTTCCCCTGTCTACCTCTCTCTCTCTGGATCTCTGGCCCGCGGACCCCGGTCACGGGGACCACTCGAGGCTATGGAGTAGGACCAGCTGACTTTTGTCAACTCGACAACAGCCGTGGAAAAACCTTCAACTACAAATTACGCAATCATTACTTTGTACTTTTCTCTGTTGTGAGGGAACCATTTATTGATAAAGGTCCCTCTCAACTATCTTCCTAATGGAGTGTTTCTTAAGAACACCCACTTTCCACCTCGACATTATTGACATTCATTTGCCTAAAACGCCGAGCAAATGTACCACACGAAAGTAAATTAATCCAGGACGTCGTCGTGGGCGGCGTTCATTTCAGAATCAACCACTTGCACTCGCGAGGCGAGGCCGGCCGCTGCATATTCATGGCAGTCGATGTGCAACGCACACGACGCACTCGACTACCGTGATCGGGAAAGGCGTTCCCCGTAGCCAGTGGCTACTAGCCACCCCGCCCCCTCAGGGGGGCCTGACCTTGTACCTTGCTCCTTACCTAGTGGACGGCGAGCGGACAGAGCTCCGTCCTTAGGGACGACCAACAAGCGCGCCCAAGCGCAAGTCTGTCGGCCCGAGGTCCGAGGTGAGGAGGGAGCGAAGGGGGGCTGACCCTTGGCAACAGAGAGAGAGTCCTTCTCCATGGCCGCAAACAGTCCCCTTACGGCGGAATCCCTCCACTACTTTGTCGCTTATCTCGGGGCTGTATTACCAATCATCGCGGAAGGTCCGGTCGGGCGGGGGACAGAGTGAGGCGACAATAGTCGGGGCCGCAGGAACCTCCGCCCATTAACTAATGAACCACACCGTCCTACAGGTTGCGGGCCGAGGCTTGAGCCGAGGCAGGTGCGGCAGGTCGAGTGGGGGGACACGGGGCGACACGTGCCACGGGTCCGAGGGTCCGGGGGTCCGCGATAGAGAGCCCTCTCCGAAGTACACCAGGAGGCGCGTCCCCACCCGTCATGGACCTCGGGGAGCCGGACACCCCGCCCCGACTCGCCCCGCCCCGACTCCGCTCCACCACACCCCGCCACGCCCGTTGCACCGTTTCACGTGTAATGTTTGACGAGCCTGTACGGCCCGCCTTTACTGACTAAACTCTCGCTGAGCCTTCCGAGAGCGCTCTCGGTCCGGTAATCGCTCCTTTCTACGCCCGTCTCGCGCCCGTATAACAACACTTGCACAGGCGGAGGTCTAGTTCAAACAACGACGTCGCCTTGCCCTCTCTCATTTAAACCGGAATTGCAGCGACGTGTTCTCCGAAACCTTCTGCGACGGCGACGCCTCCCCCCCCCCTCGGCAGAATTGCATACACACGGGTCGCAAAAAATAAGGAAATTGTGCCAAGACAAATGAGAGATAAAGGATACAGATAAAGTGGTTTGCGGGCCTCGCGGCGACCCCACCGGCGACCTGCTGCTCCTCTTTCCTTTTCGCACTATCTCGTCATTGCGGTCACAACGCTCTGCCTTGGTCCATTTCCCCCGTTCACCTGCTCTGCAGCAGACAGCCGCCGCCAGGTCGCCGTCGTCGCGGAGCCTTTAGAGCCTGTGGGTAAACAGCCCGGGGCCCGGGCCCCGCTGAGCGAGGGCCTCGAGTCCCTCAAGTGGAGCGGCTCGCCTCGCGCGCTCACACACACCCGCACACTCTTGTCCCGGCCCGGGTCAGCGCGGGGACGCATACCCGGGTCGTGTCGCTCGCTATCCCCCGGCCGCGGTGCGGCGGATGGAAAGTTTTTCGGGGTCCTCGAAGAGCGCGCTGAGGATGTCCTGAGGGGCCCTGCCCCGCCCCGTCACGTCCCGTTCTGAAGGGGGGCCGTGCGGCATCTGGCTGTATCGCAGGGCCAGCCGCTGACTGTACAAGTTACGGACAAGAAGAGGGCCGCGGACAAGAGTAGGACCCCCCTGGCCGCGGTGCTGGCGGCGTCCTGGGTGACCCTGTCGTCGAGCGGGGCGGCCTCGGCAGCCCCCGCGCGCTGCAAACCTGATTCGAAATCGGGACGGGTCGCCCGCTGTGCTCGGACTTACCCCGCACGCATGCAGCACGCGCGTTGACGTCAGTGCTGGGGGTCCTTGGCGAGTAACTCGAAGTACCTGCCGCGAGCGCCTGGAGCGCAAGCAGGGGAGGGGGTTGTTGGGCGGGATTCCCTCGAGTTTGGCAGATCTTGATACGCGTGTTTTAACTAATCCTCGCCGTTTGTTTTGCATCTCCCGTCGCAGAGGAGAGAATGGAGCGTGGAAAAGGGTCATACACCTTGGAGATGAAGCCGCCCGCGACCCTGCCGTACACGAGCCCGCCACACCTCGGCCTGCCTCAGCACGCCAGCCCTCCACACAACGGCACGGCGGCGCTCAACGGGGGCCCAAGGTAAGGATCAGGATTGTCCTGATTTTATTTTTTTTGATTTTTTTTGATTTTTTTAAATTGTTGAAGACTTATATGTTGTGCTTCTTGCAGGAAGGGCGCGCCGCCGGACTCGGTCTCGGTCTTCACCGTCAGCTCGGCGGCGCTCATCCCTGTGGAGCCCGCCGGGGAGAACGAGATGTCGTCGGGCGACGTCTACGATCCTTACGACCACCGCGAAATGGACCATCCAACGAAGTGAGTATTTCGAGCAGAATGTGTGTCCCGCGTCCGGAGCGCTCCTCTGATCCTGGTAGGTTAGCTGGATCGTCCAGAAAGTGCGTCCGTTTTCGTCCCAGATTTATTCGGTAAATTACGGGAGCTCGGCGCCTGCGAGACTCGGGGTGGGCCAGCCCGCAGTACACGCGTGCTCTGCAGGCGAGATGTTGCCTACCTATCAGGCGCTAAAGGGCGGTTTCGAGTTAGTGTGTACGTGCCTCTGGGAGACACGGTCAGTAGTGACATCGTCTAAACATCCTGCGTTAGCTTCCCCATCCCCGATTGAGCCGCGCCAAGTGTTTCCGCGTACCTCACCTCCATATCGTAAAGTGTTGATTGTAAACTAGGCTCCCCCCCCCCTCCCTCCACCGCCCACCCGGATCGTCGTGTGACAGGAATGCGTCCGATGATAGACTCCACTCCACCACTCCTGTTTATACTGATCGTACAGTACAGAGCCGGGCTGGAGCGAGAATGTGTTCGGCCATCCTGTTTGACCACCGCGCGTCACACTGCGCACTGCTCCCGGGCCGGGCCGCTAGTTGTGGAT